GGCTGGGCTCTGGTGACATGTAGCTGAGCCAAGACAGCCTTGCCCAGTCTCACTGACCCTACACCCGTATTCAACACTTCATGGATTACTGAACCATGATGGCAAGGAACCATGCATACCCTTCCTAGACATAGAATACCAAGAGTTTTCTTCCTCTTTAGGTAGCTTTCTGTTCAATGCTGAGGATGGAATCATTAATGAGACAACAGGGGGTATGCAGAATATAAACTATTGCTAGATAATGTCAGTGTAACAATCAAGAGAAACTGGATTCACCAAGGATGCTTATCTTCTCCCCAACACAAAATGTGCAAATGGCTCTAGTGAAAACGGCAAAGTTGTAATGTTCTTCAACACCACCAAATAATTATTAGCCAAAAAGCACAGATTCTGTAATGTTTGATACTACTTCAGTTTTCTACCTGAACAGCAAGTTATAAATTAGCTTGTACATTTCAACTCATGTGAATCTACCAAATGTACATAGATTTCTTTGACGAGCAAAGCAATAAGTTTGTCATCTTTCAAGGTAAGCCTTATCTATTGGAGAAAAATTGACCTGGATTACAGCATCAGAATTTCCATATCCAGGTTTCTGTTCACATAGCAGAGAAAGGTGCAGAGCCGCCTGCCCTGTATTGGGCTCATTGCTTGAGTGAGCAGAACAGTCTTACACATAGATATTTTTGTGTATATAGACATTTTATCTTCTTCTTTAAAGAGATGAAAACAAATGATACTTTTTAAAATGTACTACATTTTGTGTGCAATTGGGTCTAAAGACAAAGATTTTATCCCTCTATATTTTAGAAATATATATCTGCCATTTCCCATCAAGTTTCCAATCAAAATCTCCAATCAGAGAGAAAATATTTTGTTAAAAACAGACATATTCAAGGCAAGTGAGATATTTGAATATGTAACTAAAATAAGATTGAGATGCTGGGAGACAGGGTTAAATATGAAGCTAGATATAATTCTTAGTAAGTAAAATAGTATTAAGAATTTGACCAGATTATAATGCAAAATTACCAGAGAGTAGATATTAAAAAAGAAAACTTAAAGACATGCTTTAAAAAAGGGAACAGAAAAAATGAAGTGGCGAGGAGAGGAATTACTCAAATAAATAATTCAAAAGAAACATTCAGAGCTAAAATGGACTTGAGTCTTGAGATTGAAAGAACTTGTGAAGTATCCGTCCTGGCGACCACAAATTCTGATAGCCAAGATGGTTCCAAAAAGGTGCCCACATAAATTCCACGAACCAAAATAGCAAGTAAATATATACATTTTGAGGTGAGAACCTGTTGAAGTACACTAGAGTTCAGCAAAGAGAGCACAGTGGCCCAACAGGCCAGAGAAAACTGAGATGGCAAAATAAGAGAACCAAATGCACAGTCAGTTGTGATCTTGGCCTCATGGTAGGTTTTGGGCTTCCACCATTGCAAGGGAAATGGTGAGTGGGAGAGTGTCAACCAACCCTGTCTTCAAAGACCCTGTATGTCAGAAATCCTAGCTACAGTGGGATCTGCATATATATATGGGCTTTGAAAATCAACAAGGGAAGCTGTCATAATATATGGTAGCTTGGTTCCAGGGGAGGGACATATATTGTCTTCCCAACCCATAGAAGGCGAGGGTGCAGCATTGTGAGGTCATCTTAACAAAGGAGTTTCTATCAGAATCTACCTGCCTTAGGGGGCAGATGTACTACATGTACCACACATGTACTGCATAAGCTGGTTGTCTCAAGCGAAGTGGGGTAGATCCTGCCACCCCCATGATAGAAGCCAAGGCACATTCCCATGAGGAGTTGGAGACATCCCCCTTCATTCCCTCACCCAACGCCAGGACAGTACCTGCCAGTCACAAACTACGGCCCTCACTGCATCACCACAGCTGTCTTTCCAAGCCTTCCTTGACTCAGGAGTCAGTGACTGCTCACGCACTCCTACTTCTGCCGCACAACTCCCTGTCCAGTGTGTCCTAGATTTGCTGAGGGACTTGACTCCACTTCTGTGCAATTATATCCCTGTCCAGTTTTAGTGCTCTCAGCTGATTACATGCACCTGCCAAGAATTAGAACATGACATTGTACAACCTTGGCCACAACCACGGAGACTTGCACTTTCCTGCTGGAACTATAAGGGGGCTTGCGTGTCCCTATGGCCACTGCCATCATTCGCAGTGTAAGAAAAAGTAGCTCTGAATCATCAAGAAAATATTTCTCTATGTTAAAGCAATGCCCCCGTTTTCTGGAAGTAAATAGTCATTATGGCCATACACCTCCACTGTAGTACATGTCATAAACCATGGCGGTCTTTGAAGGGCTCCCTGCTCACACATGTCAGAACAGACAGGGTGCTCCAACAACCTGCTCCCTGCCCACCATCATGTGCCCCCAGCAGAAACAAAATAAAAACAAAAATAAACTCATAATATTATGCATTACCATTCCTGTGCTTCTATGTGTCAATGGATTGAAGAAACTGTATGGGAAAGTAAACTAATCATCTTATCTTTCTTCTTTACTGATCCATATTTAGTTCATTAAGGTCATCAAATTTTGAACTTTAAAATTTCTAATTCAGAATTGAGGGTGGGGAAAGCAGTGTTGGGCTAGAGTAGAGGGAAGGAAAGTAGAGTTCTGATTAAGTCTATGTAAGCTTGCATTTTCAGTCTTTTCAGGAAAAACACAATGATGTAGATTTATCCAAAGACACAATAAACATAAAAGGCAGTATTAGGGGAACTGAAGTATCTTCATCCAATATTCCTGTCATTGTGTATCCAGCAAAACTTTATTGAAATACTACATTTATCAGGGAAATTATGCATCATATAGATAGTGAATGCTGCCTTCCCACTGGTGAACACAACCATGCAATAACTGTCCAGGAAAAGCAAAACAAAACTGCCAGGATAGCAGAAGCTCTCACCTGCCATTCCCAGTGTAGCCATCATTCACTTTCCAAATGCTGCATATACTTATGCTATCTGCTTTTGAATTTCTTATCAAAATCAAATATAACTACACTGACTATAGTATGTGGATATTTTAAAATGTTTATGATTTTTGTGCTATTGTGTAGTATTCTATTTTTTATTAAATGGTAGGGTTATTTTTCTATTTTCTTGTTGGAGATTTGGGTCACTTCCAACTATGTATCTATCAGAAAAAAATAATGTTTCTGAAAAAGCCCAAGAACAGAGGGTTTTTTGTTTTATTTTATTTATTTGTTATTATTGTTGTTGTTTATGCTCCTTAGTCCATTTGCTCATATAAGCAAGACCAAATCAGCAATAAAGAACTTACGCTTTTCTGGCTCATGGCTCTAGAGGTCAGGTAGTTTAAGTGCAAGGCAGTGTCATCTACTTGGCATTATGTCAGTGTCCTCTTACTGCATCTTATCGTGGTGGAGTGTATAATGTGGCAATTCAGATGGAAACTCAAAAGATTCTGTATAGCTAATTCAATCAACAGAAACAAAGCTGATGGCATCACAATATCAGACTTCAAGATGCACTGCTGGGCCATTTTAATCAAAACATCCTAGTACTGGCAGAGAAAGAGGCATGGACATCAAAGGAACAGAACAGATGCCACAGAAATTAACCCACACATCTGTAGTCAACTGATTTTTTGCAAGCCAATCAAATTATGGAAAAAGGATCTCTAAGCATCTGGGAAATGTAAGTTAAATCTACAGCAAGGTATCAATTCACCCTGGTTAGAGTGAATATAACCTGAAAATGAAAAAGACAATAAATGCGGACAAGAATGTGGGGGAAATGTACCCTAATTCACCTTTATTGGGAATGTAAGTATAATCATTATGGAGGATAGTTTGGTGACTTTTCAACATTTCAAACAAATCTTCCACACGACCCAATCATTCCACTCCAAAGAATTAACCCAAACAGAAATCAGGATTGGAGATACATACACAGTCATCTTTATTACAGCTCAATACATACTATATTAGATACAGAATCAATCAGCACATTAGTAGATAAAGAAAATGTAGTATAAATTCACTATGGAATATTATTCATCCATAAAAATAGAAAAACGCTGTCTTTTACAACAAAAAGGATGTAACTGGAAACCATTCTGCTTGGTGAAATAAGCCAGCCTCTCCTATCCCCAAAATATCTTATTTTCCTTTTTTCCATGGTAACATACATGGAATATATATAGCAAATATATTCTATATGAGTGAGATTGACATCTTGAAATCTGATTTTTTTTTTACAGCTGGTGTCTACACACTTAAGAAATAGGAGGGTGTTTTTGTACTTGGGTGTTGTTTGTTGAAATCTCTACCCAGTTGAGTGTTAAGCTTGTGATTGCAAGCTGAAATGAAAGTATGCCATTGTCAAAATGTCTTAAAAAGAATAAAACTAAGGAAAGAAGAGGGTGGGAGGTGGATGCAGACAAGAGGGAGGGTAGAGTTGGAAGCAGAACCATGCTCCTAATTCTGCATTGTGGAATACATGAAATGTGCTCACTTCATAGTAATAAAATGCTCCTCTTACAAAAACCAGTTAGAGAGTTACATCCTTAAAGCATTGTTGACTCTAATTGCTTCCCAAAGACACCCCCTCTCTCCACCAATAGGAATGCCATTGGCATATGAATTGGGGAATTGTGTTTTATGGGACATATTCAAGTCTTAAAGAATGGAACAAGAAGTGAGATTTCTAGGTAATAAGGTATATTTCTGCCCAACTATGCCGGATTCTATCAAGCATTCCAAGTGATTAGAATTCATCTGTGTTCATCTCTTTTGCCTTTCTGTTACCCTCTTTTTAACTTGGTTGTTAATATTTTCTCCATGGATTTCAAATTACAGATTATTATGGGTTTACTCCACTTCCTAAGTGAACAGAAAAGTGCCCTGATATCCAAAACAGTCCAATATACTATACAAACGGTGAATACACACACACACACACACACACACACACACAAGGACAAATGAAGGGTCAACACTTACAGTGGCTGTGATTTCGGAAGGTCTTCAAAGGCCTCTGGATGTAGTGCTTCTAGATTGTTGAAATGAATATACCTGAAAGGGAAAAAAAAAAATCAAACTGGTTATCGCCTGTGCTAGAGAAACACACAGACTATTTAAGAATTATCAAAAGTTTCATCTGAAATGGTGAATGTCACTTGCTGCAAACTTAAATCATTAAATTCAGAAATTGGAAACTCAGATATTTTAGATTTTGTTGGGGCTTCATAATTTTGATTCCAAATGGAATCCCAAAAGGGGTTCAAATAGGAACATGATGCTTCCCCTTTTCTCAAGGAGAGATCTTGAGTAAGGAGGTGCTAAGTTGCTGGTGAAATGATTCTTTTACTCATTTGAGCACTGAAAGTTGGTGAAGCAAGAATAAATGTAAATTGAAGGCACTAGAAGAGACACAAATGGCAACATATTTGTTTACAAGAATGCTCCTGTTTAGAAGGTGTAAGAAAGTACATGTTTGATGGAACACGATGAATATCTGAAATTAACTAGTTATAATGTTGGAAATGGATGAGGACTAATATGTCTTACATTGAACCCTTAATGATGAGACCATTTCACCCTTCCTCTAGGAGATTGATTCATGGGATTTTTCCAAAGCTTCCACTCTGGGAATCCTCATCTTCAAGGAGTTCAACCGAAGCCAGAAGGGTTTGCATTTCTTTCAGAAAACCAAAGATGAAATGAAGACTCATGCTTTCAAAGCACAGGGCTGAGCAGACCTCTGTAAAGCAAATCTTTATGTAATAAACAGTAGGAGCCACAGATAAGGCAGCTTCTTTCTCTATAAAAACTTTAAGATATATCTTGCACCAGACTTCGTAACACTTCTTTTCAAATCATCTCCATGAATTCAGTAGCCACAGTTGGGAGAACACACAGACTTATTGTAGAAAGCGCCCGAAATAAGGAAAAAGCAAATGAAGTTTACCACTGAGTGGGGCAGAGGACATTATGTCGATGTTACAGGACATAGTAAAAAGGGCTTTGTCAATGTGAAGTTATATCACTTCACTTAAAGAATATTCAAATTAAAGATGCTTCACATTTTGTATGTTTCAATAAAATACATGCAGTTAACCACAATTAGAAATGTTTCTGAAAGAATAAAATTAAAATAGCTAAGGAAAATGAACATGTTTACTTCATTCCCAGGCTTCTAACTGACTAGATCATAATTGTAGAAAGCATACTAATCATAATACTGGTAAAATGAAAAGAATGTTGTTGAAAAAGAACAGTCAGTTCAAGCTGCCTGAGTTGTAGCCAACAGTCAGTGCTGTGCCCTCCCTCTGTTGGAAAATTGGTATCCATGTTAGCGGTCTTGATCAAGCCAAAGTGATAACACTGGGATAATAGCATTTGTAATTGAAAAGAACAATTCCCCCTGGTCATTTGAAGTTACACACACAAACACACCACCCCTCAAAGCCCCCATTAACTTTTTTTCCATATTAACATTTATACTTGGCTTTCCAAAGAATGAAGTGATGAAGTAGAGCCTGGAAAAGCTTAGGAAGTTATAGAGGAGGAAGCTTGAGAAGACTTTGGAAAGATGACAGACAGAAGCATCAGTGACTGTGGCAAAGTTGTCCAGTGTAAGCTCTTCCTAGATGAAATAAAGTATTCATGCTATTGGATTCCATGCTCTGCATGTTTTATAAAGCTCAGTATCAGAGACTATAAGTAGCATTTTACAATGAATGAGAATAGTTGTTGATGAGAACTTCAAGTTTAATATGAAAAAGCATACATTTATTATTTTTACATGATTTCCATTAATTTTTCATCTTTCATCCTCAGAACTGATCGATTGTATAAATACTCCCATCATTTAATTAAGAAAATGTGGCAAAGAGAGATTAAATCGTTCATTCTTCATCCAACTTATAAATGCCTCTACAGAGATTTTAGTTTTGATAGATGCATCTCTTAACACCTGCGCCTACAGTTTCTCTAGTGGTGAAGAACACAGCTGCTCACCTGCTCAGCTGATATGCAGAGCATATAAAGAAAAGACAACCTACTGCAACTCAACTGAGTTAGACACCCCAAGAGCAAAGGCTACTGTGTGCTTCACAACGGGAAGTAAAGCAACCAAATCAATGGTAAATACAAGTCCCGACTCTGCAAAAACCCATGCTCTTAGTGCAGGAAGCCACCCCTCCGTTTGCTCATTTCAATACCTTTCTTCTTTTGAAGGCATGGAGCTTTTAACTGGAAGAGAGCATCGCACTCCAAACACAGAACAGAAAAAGCCCGTTGAAAAAAACAGACACAAGCCAAGTCGGTGATTTATCCAACTGCATTAAAAATGACCCAGGTACCTGCTTATTCCTCCTTCTGTAAGTTTTACAATTCTTTGATACTTATATTTTCCTTCTAAAGAATAATTGCAGATAGCTTAAACATTTTCAATTGGCACGAGCCTTGGGCCATCATCTGTCAAAGGTACAGTCTCCACAGTCTACACAGGTCCCTGAGTTCCTAGAACCAGAAGGAAGATGTTTCCGTAGAGATGGGAACTGCTGTCCTTAGCCTAGAAACCTAAAAGCCAATTTTAAGATTAAAATAGCATACAAGAGTTGATCCAACAGAAGAGCTCCTATAGGTGTATTTCTTCACAAGTTGAATTTATGATTTGCATTGCCATCATAACTAAGGTATTGATGGGTATTGATTTTCACCTTTACATCTTTTATAGGTAGCACGTTACATTTAGTAACTATCTGAAAAATTCTAGAATGCGCCCCTGAAGCCTAGTGATCACAAATCTCAGTGGTGTTTTCATTCCAGCACTGATTCCTTAGAATAAATCTACTCAATTCCAAACTCACCCATGGGAACCCTCCTGCAGGTCTTCAATCAGTAGGATGAGCAACTGGTACTTGAATTCACTACTAATGAATGTGGAAAACAAACAAAAATAGATTTTGCTCTTTCTGGTAAATAAGACAACCCAGCAAGTCTGTTGGTTTATAGCACAGGCAGCGTAAGTATTATGTCAAACTTCTTGAAATTTTAATTTTTTTTTTATTTCAAACCAACTCAAAGCAGTAACACTTCTTAAGTTAGGTTTGTTTGATTTATGTGATGGCCTTGACAATGTCAAAGAAAGCTTTGATTTCCACTGCTTTCTGAACCTTGGTGATATAGCATATTCTTCCTCTCTTACAACCTTATTTTTTATGAAGCAGTAGATAACACTGACATTTTTGGACGCCTATCACAGGTAGATAAATGTGGATGATCACTTTAAAGGATTTTAAATCTACTTAAATTGCTTCAAAAGTTGAGACATAAATGGATCAGCAACTATCTCTACATCCAAAGAAAGCAGAAAATCATCAGCGTTGTCATTCCAGGTTGATTCATACACAGCCTTTCTAGGTGATGTTTTTCACACCAGGTCCTAAATTCCTTCTCCTACGCAGAGGATCTTCAACGCAGGCTTATCACTAAGAAGTTAACCTGTACATCCAATGACTTTTCAGTCTCTGATATGCAAAAGGCTATATGTGACAACATGTCTGAAATCCAGTCCATACTATTCCAGCTTTCTCTCTGTCCTTGTGATCTATGTTTTTTGAATGATCATACATCCTTTTATACAAATAAAAGACTAGCATTGGCACCTGCTTCTCCCTCATTCCTCGGGTCGTATCCGAGTCAAAATAATCTGATTTTATTTCCCAAATATCTGTTCATTGATCATTTCTCCTTCCATCCACCATTCCAGAACAAACCTATCCATATCCATTGACCCTCATCCCTATAGAAGTATTCCGTCAGAATCTTCCTTGGCTTTAGATTTTTGTGGTATATGTACATGATAGATAGATAGATAGATAACTAGATAGATAGATAGATCTTTAACCTTTTAAGATTAATCTTTAATCTTATATATAAGATATATTTAAAATTAATCTTTAATCTTATATGTAAGATATATATAAGATTAATCTTTAATTAATTAATTAGTTAATCTTTTTAATTGCCTGCTCTTGCTTCTTCAGCCTCCTCTGTTCCTGTTTTGCTCTCTCATTTCAGTTCTAGCATTTCCTCCCCACCCCGAGTCTTCCACTTGCCATCCACTTAGCTTTATTTCCTTCTTAGCTGGGTAATCTTTTCCACCTCAAACTGCACAGTGAATCCTTTTCCTATCTTTGAATTTCATTTATGATCTTTGCTTTGGGAAGTCTTTTGTAAACTTCTTGCTATGCCATCCTTTACAGGCTGTTAATACTATATTTTTAAAATCTTCTATTATTTGTGTGATTATATTATCTTTTTTATCTTCCTTTACTAGTATCAAGCATTTATGAGGACAGAAATCATATGCAGTTTAAGCTAATTTCCATATCCCATATGATTTCCTAGCATAAAGACTGACACATTAAACTTGCAGAATTTGTTAGCTCATTGAGCAAATGAGTGCCCAGTCGATATTTTTGCATGCACATCATCTTTTCAAGTACAAGGCTGAGATAATGAATGAGATTCTTAGTGTCTTCTACGGTATTTGCCGCAGTAAGAAAAATCCCCACCAAAGTTCATGTAGAAACTATATCTGTTGTGAAGGCATTCAGAAGGTAGAAATAGAAATTCAACTACAGTATTCTGTGGTGAGAACATTAAGAGATAGAAATAGTTAAATAAGAGCAAAATTTAGGGCTTTGCTTTGATTGAACTGTGACTTTTTAAGAAAAGGAGGAAAGCTTCACAACAAGACATTCTGTCTCTCCATGTGATGCCCTGCACTGCCTTAGGCTCTGCAGAGCCCCCACCAGCAGAAAGGGCTGCAGCCTTCTGAACCTCACGTCCCTCAGATCAGTAAGCTGAATTAGTCTTTATAAACTACCCAGTCAGTGGTATTCAGTGTAGTAACAGAAAGCAGGCTGAAGCAGAATAAAATAAGAAAAGTAGTTATGAATCCTAATTGAAAAAAAACTTTCTGATTTATTATTGGCCAACACTCCATGAGAAAATACATTTCCTTGGGGAAAAACTATGCCAGACTTGGACACGAGCCTAAC